GGGGGGGGGGGGGGGGGGCACCGCGGATCCGAGACCCGGGCGCAGGCGCGCGGGACAAGAACGACAAGCTTTCATGGCTCCCATCACGGCCACGGACATCCCTCCGCCTCCGGCGGGGGAGGGGGGCGGATCCGGCAGGGCGCGGGTGGCGCGCGAGCGATCTGCACCCGGGGATCTCCGGCCCACGGCTCGGTGCCTGGCAATCAATCGCGCGGGCAAAGCGCCCTGTGGCCCCCTGGCGGCTGCGTGTGCGTGGCGGCCTGGTGCCGGCTGGCCCTTCGGCCGTGCGCGTGCGTGTGAGCTCCGCCGCGCGGCGAGAGGCCCGGAGGGCCGGACAGCATAAGGGAGCGGCAGCCTGGTGCGCGGCCGAACCCCGGGCAGTGCGGTGCGTTTCCGGTGTAAGCCCCCCCACCCCCTCGTTGTGCCCCTCCCTCAGACGGACGGAGGCCACAAGGGGTGGGCCTTTCTGGAGAAGTGCCTCGGAGCCGGGGGTGGCCCCAGGCCGGGCATGTCTCTCCGGCCGGCGGGGAGATCGCGCACAAGCACGCCTGTAGGGTGTTCTCTGATCCAGATGCTGTTGCTTCCCCCTCCCTCGCCCCTGGGGGGGGGGGGGGGGGGAGATGGAGTGTCGGGGCGGGGGCCCGTCTGGTGGTCTTCCCCCCCCGCCCCCCAGCCCCCTTGTGTGGGGGGCGGGAGGGGGGAGAGGCCCGGCGGAGTGGGTGGTGCCCGCATGCGCACACACAGGCCCGGGGCTCGTGCGGACACAGGCGCTTCACGGGCCGGGGGGGTCGTGCCTGGTTCAATCGCCGGTCGGGAAAAACGAACGGGGCACGAGGGCTCGCTCGGCGGGGGCGCAGACGGCCGGTCGGAGACGGCGGCCGCGCTGGCCGCCCCTGGAGGTGGCTCTGTTAAGAGTGGCTCGCCCCCGGACGGGCCGGGGGCCCGTGTGTGTGGGGTGCTTGGCTTTCGGGCGCGCACCACCTGGCCGGAGTGGCGCGGCCTGCCGCGACTGAGGGGCATGTATGTTGTGCGCGGGGGAGGTGCCCTCCGCCTTTCCGTGTGTGTATGTGTGTGTGTGTGTGTGTGGGTGTGCGAGTGGGCGTGCGGGTGGACCCCCGGGCCTGGCCGTTTCCCCAGCCCCTCCCCCGTGTCCAGGCCGGCGCCCCACGGGCCGGTTCTCCCCTGGGGCGCGGGGGGCGCCGGTGGCCGGCGCCAGGGCAGGCGGTACTCCAGCCTGTGCGCCCACGCCTTCTTCTGGAACGAGCTGCTCTCGTAGGAACGCTCACGTACCCATGGACCTGGAGGCGGCCCCGGCACCGGCGCGGAGGAGAGAGCCAGGGGGGGGGGGGCATACTCGGGGGCTATTTTTCCGACGGCTGGCGAACCCGGCCCATCGCCGACCGAGCTCGCCCTGGGAACCTCTGCCTCCTCGGGAGGCCCGCCTGGAAGCATGCACCTCGGCGTCTGGCCGATCTCCCTCTCTCTATCGCGCTTTCGGGGTCGGTGATCTGCCGAGCGTGTGCGCGTGTGCGCGCGCGCGCGTGTGCACGGGAAGAGGATGGACAGGCGCATGGTCACCCCCCCCCCCCCCCCCCGCCCCCCGCCCCCTTGGCAGGGTTGTCCATGCCTTCGCTGGAAAAACAGACCACGATTAATACTTCCGAGGACGGGAGAGACAATTTCCGGGCCCGAGGCGGTGCAGGAAAAATGCAACAGCCCGCCGCGTCGCCTGCAGCCGCGAGGTCGGGCGCGACGACGAAGGGGCATACCAGGGGGGGCGGGGGGTATAGGGGGGGGGGGGGGCGGACCTGCTCTTGCTGAGACCTCTCGGCCCGGCACGCCCAAAGTCGCTGGGGCGTCCGCTCGGCGCACGCGCGCGCGCGCGCGCATGCCCGCGCGCCAGGAATACCAGACGACGGCCGAAGGCCCCTCTTCCGGGAAGAGCATCGGAAGCCCGGCCGCGGCCGCGGCCGCGCCCTGGGGGCGGCCGTGCGAAGAAGGCTGCCACCAGCGCCGCGCGGCCAGGGGGGGGGGGGGGCGCGGGGGACAGGGGGGGGGGGAGTGCACAGAGCGACCCAAGGCAGTGTGAACCCCGGCGCCCGACTAATGAGCTTCTGGGATTCATTCACGCCGCCGGGCCCCGGGGCGCCGAAGAAATTGCCGAGCTGACGAGCCGGAGCGCTGGGCGCCAGGCGCCCGGCCCCCAGGTGCCACAGCCGCGCGGGCCCGGGGACAGGGGACCGGGGGCGGGGGCCAAATGACCGCTTGGGCCCGCGACAAGAAAGTGCACCATGCGAGCCGCTTCGCGGAAGTGTGCCTTGCACGCGGGGCAGGGCCGAGTCCACCAGGCTGGCGCCCTCGTCCCGGCCGGAGGACGTCCGGGGGACTCGGATTCCCGGGGCCCCGGGGCGCATGCGCACCTTGGAAGCCTGTCGGCCGCGGCCCAGCAACCTAGGATTCGCCGGCCAGCCGCCCCGGGAGGCCCCGCGCGGGCGTGGCGCGGGTGCGGTGTGGGATTTCCCCGGCGGCCTTTCACTTGGCCGGTCCTCGTCGCCGCGTCGCTCTTTCCGTGCGCGCGCGCGCGCATGCACCAGGCCCCATCGGTTATTGAGGTCTATCCCGTCGGCTGTCCCCGACGTCCCCCGGCTGGAGGTCCCCCCGGGGGGGAGGGGGGGGGGCCGGCCGGGGCCCCGGGCGCGACGCCCGGGCCAACCTGGCAGCCTAATATCCCTCGCGCCGGCCGGGCCCCTGGGCAAGTCTCGCCGCACTCCCGGGCGAGGCCCTGCCACACAGGGGCCGACCGGTTCCCGGTGGTGCTGGCGGCACGCCGGCCAGCGGTACCTGCCTGGCCTCCTGGGTCCGGCCAACCGGCGCCGCGTCTCCGCGGGCGGGCGCCCCGGGCGGGGCCCCCGGCGTCCGGTTGGCCGGCGCGCGGGCAGGGGACGAGGAACGCACACACACACACATGCCCGGGGCTTGGCCTCCGTCACGCCGTTCTCCCGTTGCCCGGAGAGATGCGCCCAGCCGCGCGGCCGCGGGGCAGGGGGGGGGGGCGGGCCGAG